ACCAGTCAATCTGGGAGTGAGGAGAAATTGTGGTAGGTGCAATACATAAATGGGATTATCATATGGATATTCCAAATTTTTTGGAATTTAGTTAAAATGATTTAGTATCTACGTATGAGTATTCCGGACTATTGATAATTGTATGCTACTATTTCCTTTGTAAGCTGTTAGCAAACAAAATATCAGTTTGTGTCCCTTTTCAAAGCAAAAACCTAATTGTATTTTCACATCGGAAATTCATTCATTCAAAATGTTAGTTTAGAACAATAGACACAACGATTTTTACAACTTTCTACCCAGCACAACTAGTTTGTGGAACGAGTTATCGCCAGCGGTATTTCCAGACCGATACGAGTTAGGGACCTTCAAGAAGAGAGCCTACCTTACCTTAAAGGCCGGCAACGCAATTGCGACTCAATCGATGTTGCAAATGTCCATGGGCGGCGGTGATCGCTTATCACCAGGTGACCCGCATGCTCGATTGCCTTCTATTCCCATAAAAAAAATGATTTTGAACTCGCTAAAACAAGAGCTTTACACGAAAGTGAATTAATTCCATAAATTTAGTCCTTCGCGAAGGTGTTGACAAAAATTAATTCCACCTGATTATGTATTCCCCGAATGGCCACGAATAAAAATGTTTCCATCTGTTTGATAGATCACCACTATTACAAAGGTCATTGTGTACGTTAAGTTAATGTAATTGAGTTACATACATTTATATAGAGATATATATATTTTGCTTTTTTTTTATGTATAATTTAGTGTAATATTTATTATTGTTATACCACTATGTTTAATTAATCTCTAAAGGTCATCTATTTGCGAGCACTTGTAAATGACTATCTCTTTTCTATTTATTTATATGTTAATAGTTATATGTTAGCTGTAAGTTTTCCATACATAATAAAATAAAATTAAATAAAATATTTATATATATATATATATATATGGTGCAAGAGTTCATACTGGTCAGTGTAAATATAATAAAAGAAAGTCTTAAGTAGCTGGTACGTCAGCGACTTCAATATAGTATATTTGTTTCGTCAATTATAATTTCACATCATCTGTAATTGGACATCATACCTCATTATAGTTAAAAACCAATTCAATGTTTAATATACACACACAGCCGTATACTCTTTCGTGTAAATATTCTAACCCTGCCCTGCTCAGCAGTTTGTAAGTAAGTGGAGTATCAAAAAAGTTCCGATTCTTAAAAAAAGCCACTTTAATTTAAGAATTCGAACAAACACTTGGAATGATAACATCATTCCGATGGTTCTTCTTGTCATACAGCTCTATGTCAGTTAAAATTACTCTTATATGTAACTATTATTTTAAACTAGCGAACCGCTCCGGCTTCGCATGGGTGCAATGTGGATATTGAATTTATACTACATATTAACCTATCGCTTGAACCAATCTACTTATTGCTGAAAACCACATTAAAATCAGTTGCGTAGTTTAAAAGATCTAAGCGTACAAATATCGGAATCGACTTTGTTTTATACTACGTAAAGATTAGCAGTTATTCGAACACGTAACTTGCTATTATTTGAGTTATACGTTCAACACAAGTTAAGCAATATGGAATGAATTATAAATCTATTCTCAGGTTAGAACTACTTAGCGTCATACGAGTATGGACAATTCTTTAGTTCTTGTCTAACACTGTCGATAGACCAAAATTGAGTTTACCTAAATAAGACCATTATAAAACGTTCAGAGGAATTTTTCGCATTAATATTGTCTGTTTCTTCATCGTGATAATACATACCATCTCTACCACCTTGATTGTTATGAATCCAACGTAGGTGTGCTTTTCAAGAAGAACCTCTATTCATTAGTTTATTTTTCCTCGTCCTAAGGTAGTGTTTTGACTATCAATTAGCGAGTGTAATGCTCCTATGTTGACTAAAGACATTTGATTTTGATTTTAAAGTTGTCTGGAAGAGATCGCTTTTTAGCGATAAGACCACCTAGTTGTACCTAGCTTAAACTTATTTTACATTTATTGTATTAAATTCTTTGTGGTGTGCAATAAAGTATACAAAAAAAAAATTGTAAAACAGATTTGGCTGACGCGGACATCCTTTTACCGAGATAACCCGATTTTGACTTCAATAAAATTTTTATCCTTTCGAACAAACTCAATCAAATTTTTCATCTCTGAAGAAGCTTTGTTGAAAATTTTTACACGGATTTTATTGTATGCGCTTTCGCTCGATGGTGTGATTTATTGATTCTGTCAAACGCAACAAGCACATTTTGGCACGTGAGCTTGGTTATTGTTTAGCCTATCTTTATAGAAAGTTTTGGGTTTGGTTTTATTATCTGTGCGTGCTAGGTTTTGTATACTACGCACCCGTATATACATTAGCACACCTTTTTTTGTCTTTTTTACTTTTTAACAATATTGCCCTTACATATGATAACATTATCCTATGTTGTAAGGACGATCACGTAGACCCAGATGCGAAACAATTATCTGTGGGTCACACAAATAGTTGTCCCGCGTGGGAATCGAACCCACGACCCCCGACGCCTAAGCCAATACCTTGGCAACTGCGGCACGGAGTGCTCTACACTACCGTGCACACAAAATGGTCTTTTTAAGAAAAATAAGACCGCATTTTGAATTGCACTACATTTTTGCTTAAATATCCTTTAATAATGTGTATACTCTTATAACTGACGGCTTTATATTCGTGAAAACATAGCAGTTCTCATGATTTTATTTTTCCAAACTTTGCCACAGAATGTGGTTCTGATAAGTACTTTACTGATCTAGTTACAATTGATCGCGGGTTCTGTGTCTTTTCTGTTCTATGTTTTTTTAATTAATATTTCAGGACACAACGTTCTCTAGTCCCAAAGTAGCCTAAGCTTGAACTATGGGTACTGGGATAACTGTTAAACATACTTTTCTTTTGTTAATAAATACATATTATAAAAATCTAAAATCCAGACACTGAAAAACACTTTGTTCATTACACAATATTTTTCTATTAGTGGGGATCGAATCTGGTGCAAGTGGTAGTTCATTACCCACTACGCCACTAATTATTAAATTGCTAAAACACTTCGAGGGCGAGGTATCTACTCTTGTCAGAAATTCACTGAGCCCTTATTAAAGGCGGTACCTCGTGGGTGTTTTGAGGTCAACAGTTTGTTGGAATTAAAAAGGCAAGCACAAGATTGTGTGTAGCCATAAAGAAATAATTCTGTGAGGAGTTTTAAGCAATTGTGTTTGTAACTGCAGACGTTGTAAATATATAAATAGGCAATTTTTTTTTTAAAATATCATTTGTCTCTGGACATAACTTTGGCGAATTGCATTTAGAATCAGGAGGCGAGAAAAACGTACAAATAACTTTGTATGGTTGTAAGCAACGTTCAACGTTCAACGGTTGTAAGCAAATGTAGACAAGAGATAATCGTCATCGCGGTTTTCGAAACCCTTGATTGCACCTTGCAAAAATCTCAAATATATACTACTTATAAAGAAAAATTGCCAGATTTTTCTTTATATGTAGTATGTGAAATAAAAATATTCATTTGTTATGAAAAAAAAAAAAAACATTCGTTTGATATCCAATCTTTTCACTAAGTACGTCATGTGAGGAATGGGATTGGACTTCAGTATTAAAATAATTCGATGGAGAGACTATATTCTAACACCGCAAAGTTCAACACGACCGGAGATCAGTTTCAACGTACCGATGAAATTCTTATACTTCGCAATAAATTTCTAATCGATAAAGCTTTTTATGAATCATTTAAGGATATATTTAAAATGTGTTTGTTGTACGGATGCGTATATGGTTGAAGTCGAATATGCATCTTAGAAATAAACAGGCAAGCAGGGACTATTAGTAAGACACCGGGGTCTGTCTGTCTGTCTGTCATCAGGCTGTATCTCACCAACCGTCATCGTAAGACAGTTGAAATTTTTACAGATAATGTATTTCTGAATAAAAAAATATTTAAGTGCAGATATAACATACAACAGACATGATTTTTTTGCCTTTTTTATAGATAATGGTACGGAACCTTTTGTGCGCGAGTATTGCTGTTATTTTCTTTGGTTTTTACGGAGAGAGAAGTTTAGGCTAACGTGCAAATACATTGCTTTAGCTTTTAAGAAAGAGTAAGGTCCCGAAACACAACGTGAAACCCCAAGACGTGGGTTCGATTCCCGCAGCTTCGAAAAACTTTTCGTACTGTTTTCTACAAATTTTAATCATTACCTATATTTCATCTATGAAAGGGTCTGGGGAGTTCTTATTAATGTAGTTTATAATTAATATTAAATTTTAAAAAAACTTTATACTATACTTATGCCAACATAGCTATATTGAATCAAAAGTTGAGTTTCACTTCGTAACGAATTATATCATTCATAATGTTTTTTAAATTTTTACTAACAGCAGCATAAATAATTATTTACTGGCAGTTAAGGATTTACCTGTATAAAAAAATCAACACAAAAGCCGCGAAGATCGCAAAGGCGGGAAATTCACGGGCGTGATTAATATGACGCCATGCTGACACGTGCAATTAGTGAAGTTTTAATAAACACTCGATAGTTCGCGGACAAGTTATTAAAAGTTTGAATGGCGACGTAGATGGCAGATGCATGTTGTTGTGCAAACAAGCTGTACGCAAGTTTGATCGTTGTCTAAATTACATTCAAACACTTCCTAGGACATAAGACATAATAAACTGTTCCATTGCTCTCGAAAACTAAAAAACTTCTCAGCTAAAAATAGAAGTCAGATTTTGTACCCAAAGGAGTACATCCTTCCTAACCTTCTTAAAACTGTTTAAATTAATCTGATAAATAAGGTAAAACGTTAAAATTTAGTTCTTTCCCTCCTTTACAAATACACTATCATTTTAATAATTTTAATAATAATAATGACTCCAATTTATCATTATAAATGTTTATTTTGTGATCTGGTCCCCATAAAAGATGTAACAATGGATGGATGCAAATGGCAAAATCCCGCTTAGAAAGCAACAACGTCGTTCGTTGTTGCGTTCTAAGCGGGAGGCTTTTGATCAACAGTGGATGTCTTGCGGCTGATAATGGTGATGATGAACTAATATCACGTAAGTAAGCTTTTTATAAGACGCGTAAAAAGTGTCGTTTCGTATTCTCGATAATTTCACAGTTTTAAATAATGTTAATCATTAAAAAGCCACTTCAACTGAACAAAAAGACAGACTGGCAGAGATTTACAGATATAAACAGTGCCTTTGTTTCTGCTACTCTTTTCTTGTAATTAAAATTCTTTACGTACACGCTGTGTACATAAATTTAATAAATAAATAAAATAATGAAGGTACGTCAGGTGATCATGCCACTACATAGCTACTGTTTTGAAATTGTTTATTACAAATTTGAGAAGAAAAATAGACGTGTTAGATATTTACAATGTATATTTTACTACCAATGCGGCGGTATTTAGAAATATTATATGGTTTACACTGCGCATGTTTGTATTTTTCTAAGGGATTTTTATTTATTAGAGCAATCTGCTTTAATTTAACTACACTACGCGCTGGCTACAATGAAATTACTTAATTAACGTTAATTTGCCTAGGCGGTAGATGATCATTATTATAATTAGTTTATTTGGTAAGCAAAGTAATTATAATGTTCTTTTTTAAATTAACACTAAGTTAACTCAGCAATCAGGAAACCACTAAGGTTCGTATAGGTGCTTATGAATGACATTATTATCTTATTAATATTCAAACAATTCAATGTAAGAAAATGTCCGATGTAAACCTGAGATGTGCTTTAAAAACTAGACGTAATTATATAAAATACGCCAATTTTCGATGTACTCCTGACTTATTTCAGTAGTGGGATCTATCTATGGTGTATGCAATAAATTTACAGACTGGCTATTATTTAGCTAAAATTAATTATTGTCCATTATGTAAAATATAGTAAAACATGCAAATGGAACGCGAAACGGATCGTAGCGATTGTATGTCTATGGATCCTTCTGAATTCGATATACGTAACATTTCATCAGTTTCCGAATTGACGTCTCATATCGATGTTTTAGAAAACAAACCACATCTGCACACTCGAATGTAACTGCAGCTTGATGATGGTATTGTTCTCGTATCATTTGAAATCTTCGTTTGCTATAAACATTTTCCATTATGTGTACATAATTTTATCTATTTTTACTTAATGATCATACTAGAGAACGTTCATGGAATTCGTCTGTTCTGTTCTGCAATATGTTTTTTTTTTATCAGGCAAGGCCTTATTAAAAACCAACCATGTGTTTCGATAGTACACGTTGCAGGATTGCAGGTTGTTAAAGTTGAAACTCAATGAGGAAAACTCCATATATAGGGTGCAAATCTGCATAAAAATTGTTATGATAAGATGTCAATGTTTAAATTAGTCCTATTTTTATTTAATTCGAATCTGGCCAGCACTTCATTGCCATTCCACTTTAAACAAGAATAGATTGTGTTTGAAAAGTTAAAATGAAGAAATCAATTAGATAAATTGTCTATGACCGGTTTCATAGTAAAACTGACCCGCCTTCAAACCTCGTTTTATACTAAAGCGTGCGTCTAATAACAAATATTTTACGCTACAAACGTATGTAACCAAGCTAAACACCCAGGTAAAACGCACGCCTCATCAGGACCTAAACAAACAAGATATATGCACGGATAAAGTCCCACAGAAAGGCCACGTTAAAGATCTGACTAGTGTTGCAAGTGTCGACCGTTAAAATATATCGGGGCTCGAAATCCGATTCGTCAGTCCAACAAAGGGTATATCGGTTGTCAAATGCGTGAGTCGGGGCAGTGTTGGGGGAATGACACTAACGAGGTCTTGGAACAACGCGGTGTCGTCTTACAAAAGCGACGGGGGCAATCCTTCAGTATTTTTTGTGTGATCCGTTCGAGTATGTAGTATTTATAAACATTTATACAGCACTAGTCCGCGATTTAGTATTTATACACATTTATACAGCACTAGTCCGCGATTTCGAGCGTTCAATTCTTTATGGTTTGGCCATTTGGCTAATGGAAAAGGTTTAATTTTAATCTCGTGTTAATCTACATGTCTTTGATGTCGCAAGGAAACCTGTAAATATGAATGAGTATTTCAAAGATATGTAAAGTCCATGCCTCGAAACCCTTGGGCCATACGGATATTGTTTATGTATGTCAATAGACATTTTTTGGAAAAGTAAGTAAAGTAATAGCCTATGCATATTCCGCGGCAGGGCAAAGGGCTCCTTTGTACATAGGGTAATAGAGCATAGTCCACCACGCAGCCCCACTGCGAATTGGCGGGATTCACATGTCTTCGAAATATTTTTTTGTCATTATTTCCAAATTATGCGGGTTTCCTCACGACGATTTCTTTCACTGCTGAGCATATGACAAGTCAGCACTTAAAAATACAATTTCATGGGTGCCGGCACCGGGCATCGAACTCAGGTTGCTCGAGTATATTAAATTAAAGGCGAGCGCCCCGACACTGAGCTATCACGGCTCAGTGTCCGAGTTCTTTTTAGTTTTGTATACATTAAGTAATTGTATTTAACTTTTATTTTTTATTTATCAATTATGAGGACAAGCAAATCGCTCGTCATTTACTGTATATTGCAGAGGACAAAACAATAAGCGGGTTGTTTGTTCTCTCTTCAAATGCTTTAATTAAACCGACATTTCTTTGAACTAATTACTGGTAATAACATTAACATAGGCCTTGTATAGCTAAATAATTACGTTTAAATTTTAATTCAGGCACGAATTAATTCGTTCTTTCGAAGCGGAGTACGTTTTAATTTGCCTATATTTTAATCGGACGCAGCAAACTCTATTTTTTCTATCATTCCTTAAAGCGTTACCCCCGCTGTAAGGTAATTCTGTAATGTTATATAATAATTGTAGAGACGTTTTAAAAGCACAAATTAAAGAAGGACAATCAACCACCATCGCATAAAATGTATGCATGGGCCCCACTTTTGCTGTGTGGGCCGGCCCGTCGGGAACACAACGACTTTATCACAGTTAGGTGTGTTTATAACCTCTTCAGGTCCTATGAATGTCAAACAGTATGAAGAAAATGTCAACGCAGATAAAATTTAATATATGATTAGTTTCACGAAAATTGATTCCATTTTGTGTAACCTAAACCGTGAGGCCAACGCCGCGGATGAAATGTAATTTTAGGGGCGATGCATTCAAACAAAAAAAACAATACGTACCCTCTTCCACAATGGCAAGAACTCTCGTTTTATTTACCGTCCGCAAATGTCGCTCCGTCTGTAAGATTAATGATATATCCATTGTACCTGATAGACGTGCAGCGACACGCTTGCACCGTCTCCGTTCATACTAGTGAGGACTTACGTTTTTAGGGTTCCGTACCCACATGATAAAACGGGAGCCCTTTACTAAGACTCCAGTGTCTGTCTGTCTGTCTGTCTGTCATCAGGCTGTATCTCAGGAACCTTGTTAGTTAGACAGTTGAAATTTTCAGAGATGATTTCTGTTGCCGCAGTAACAACAAATACTAAAAAACAATATTAAAAACTTAAGTGGGGCTCCCATACTTTTGTATCACATGGTTTTTTGCCGTTTTTATAGATGGTACGGAACCCTTCGTGCGCGAGTCCGACTCGTACTTGGTCGATTTATATAATATACTATAAAAGTAGTCGTAGGTAAGTTAACTCAATGTTCAATGACACACATCTATTACGTGGTCATCGATGAAGGAAAAACCACGCGAGGAAACCTGCATATTTTCGAAATAATAAAAAACCGGCCAAATGCGAGACTGAATGACTGACACAGAAAGAATTTCTCTGCTCAAGGAAGCAAATCAGAAGCTACTGTGTGTTCATACTACAGTATATTGGAAAAAATCACACTTTCAATGACATCATTGAGTCGATTAACGTGGCATAAATTGGCGAATTCGTTACCACCTTAATGGTCAGTGTGACATTGGGGTTTACGACGACCAAATGTATTATTTGCAAAGGTACCATCAAAATGAATTAAAATAACCAGTATTAGCAGTATATTTTAACGTCATATATTTCATTATATATAATAACCAGTATTCTTTAGAATCTTGTTTACTTTAGTTTAAATAGATTTAGGGCCGCTCTAAGTTGTTGCTAATAAAAGCAGGCACATGGCTTTTAGAGCGGAGTGTAGGTACTTTGCTTTGCATCGCATTACAAGTTTACGATGCCAGGGAACGAAGTGCTTTTGAGCTACACACCTGAATATGCATTTGGCCAATCGTTAAATGCCAATATTCAATAACACAAGCGAATACCGAAGATTATTATTGTCTTTGGGATTATTTCCAAATCTATGTTTCTGAACGATCTTTGAAATGAAAATTTCCTTAGTATTAAAAGCAACTTTTGGCAAAATTGAGAAATTATTTGAACACCGCATAAATATTTTGGAAATGGTCTGTCAAAGGATCTGCTTCCCCACTTATTTTATTCGCTCTTTTTGATTGGAAAAATAAAATATAATTATTCTTTATAATTTTCTACAATAATATTTTATCCCGATACAGATGACTCAGGGCATTTTTTCTTTTTATTTCATTGCCAAGGGCTTCGGCGTCGGGGGTCGTGGGTTCGATTCCCACACGGGACAAACATTTGCTCGACCCACAGATAACTGTCTCGGCAGTGGGTGTTTGTCTACGTGAAATTTATGTTTGTAAAACGTTGTAACACAGGTTAATGTTATCCTACAGTAAGGGCAATGTTTTACATAATAATAAAAAAGTGTAGGACAAGGCTTAAGTTTATCAACGTTTCTACGAAGGAAAATATGATGTCTGTTACTTATGTGGCTCTAAAATACTTAGATCATAAAGTGTCATCCATAAGAATCAGATCGAGTTCAGCATTAATAGTTTAGTCTATATGACCCAGCGTAGCATTAATAGTTTAGTCTAATTTTATTCACCAGAGTGAAGTAATTGCAGTTCAAATATCGGCAACAATCTTGCTACCCTAGTGTAGTGAATGTTCATTAGGTGCGTCATCAAATACCCTAAGGAGTAATCGCTCGTCTGTATGAACTCTTCTGGAAAATGTTTCAACAATGTTTACCGTTCTTCAAACTCTTCTTCTTCTTTCTCCTGCCCTTATTCCACACTAGGTGTGGTCGGCACAACGTGTTCTTTCCTTCCACTTTGCTCTATCCGCCGTCATCTCCATACTCACCCCTTTTACAGACAGATCTTCCTCTAGTTTTACACCAACCAACTCAGCTCGACACTGTGTTCTTAAAACATTTTCCAATATTTCCTTCTTTTCAATTCTTCTTCTCATATTAGCTTATTCGTCTTCCATTTCAGCATTAGCTATCGCCGAGGCCCAGAAGCTCGGGGCTCAGGATTTTATCCGCGTGCTGGTAGAGAAGCCCTGGGATGAACTCACGGCAGATAGCTGGGACCTGCCGTCCCAAGTCGACTTGAAGGCAGCAGAGGAGATTGACCTTGATGACAACGACGAAGGCATCTCTAATAGCTACGATGGTAGCGAGTTGAAGTAAGTAACCTTATGCATTCTCCAGGATCTGATTATTCGACGTTTCGTACCAGAATAGTAAAAGGAATGCTTTTTAGGGTTCCGTACCCAAATTGTAAAACGTGACCCTATTAATAAAGACTACGCTGTTTGTCTGTCTGCCCGCCTATCACTAGACTGTATCTCTTGAACCGTGATAGTTAAACAGTTCAAATTTTAACAGAATGATGTATTTCTGTTGCCACTATAACAACAAATATTAAAAAACAGAACAAACTTTGTGCCGTTTTTATAGAATATTTATTTTATATATCTCACGGTTTTTTCGATACGTTTACGGATTGGTAGAAAAGGTATTGGACAAGGCCCTGAGGAAACTATGAGACTAATTCGCTGATAAAAGTTTCATTTTTCCAATACAAGCGTGAAACGCAAAAGGTTATTTTTTAAACTGTCTTCCTTATTACCGTTAATCGAAATTTGAATATGCAAAAGTGTTAGGGAAGACCAAAACGAGCAGGTGGTTCACCAGCTGATGTTAAGTTATAACCGCCGTCTATGTACATCTACAATCTCTGAGTGTGAGACGCGTAAACCAACTTTTAAAGAAATGGGCCCCAGCTATCGCACTACAGACGAAACGCAAAAGTGTAACACTTCAAGCCTGCCTTCTGTGATGTTGTGGTACTTCCCCTGACGAGACTGCCCATCCGTGCAACAGCAGAAACTACGTGGCCGAACTGTAGTGAATACCCGAGTGACATGTGGCATTACCCTCGTTTCGAAAGTATATTTTGTTAAATCCCTTAGGACTGTTGTGGCTTGTGACTTATCACGGGGAAGTGTACTTCTTCGATGAATGTTTCGCTATTAAGGAAGGTTGCATAAACAAACCGGTCTTCGGATGCCGTGTCGATTAGCCCATAGTATTATATAACTGTAAACACGGTACAGTCCAAACAATGATTCATTGAGTTTACGCATAGGTTGTTGGGACGATTACATGAAACCTATTTTCGAACAGAAAGGAGGTTGTTGTTTGTTGGTATGATTAAATGAAACCTTTTTTCGAACAGAAAGGAGGTTGTTTTTTGTTGGTATGATTAAATGAAACCTCTTTTCGAACAGAAAGGAGGTTGTTTTTTTGTTGGTATGATTAAGTGAAACCTCTTTTCGAACAGAGAGGAAGTTGTTTTTTTGTTGGTATGATTAAATGAAACCTGTTTTCGAACAGAGAGGAGGTTGTTTTTTTGTTGGTATGATTAAATGAAACCTCTTTTCGAACAGAAAGGAGGTTGTTGTCTGTAGTTTGTTAGTATGATTAAATGAAACCTCTTCGAACAGAAAGGAGGTTGTTGTTTGTTGGTATAATTAAATGAAACCTCTTTTCGTACAGAAAGGAGGTTGTTGTTTGTGGGTACGATTAAATGAAACCTCTTTTCAAACAGAAAGAAGGTTTTTGTTTGTTGGTACGATTAAATGAAAACTCTTTTCAAACAGAAAGGAGGTTGTTGTTTGTTGGTACGATTAAATGAAACCTCCTTTCGAGCAGGACGGATGCAGGGAAGCGGTCGGCGGTCGCGACCGCGCTGAACACCGGCCGACGCCGGCGCCAGCCGACGCCCGCGCTCGGTAAGGCCGTCACGCCGTATGTCGGCGTCGGTAAGCAAACGAAAGGCTTAGTGTGTGTGAAGCTTTACGGTCGAAGTGCGCTTTAATCGGGCTAGATGTGCATCGCTTGAGCCTGGTGTGACGTTGGTTATGCCTATCAGGCGCCCATTGGTCGAAATTGGACCGTAATGTTTTAAAAATTTAAATGGATTTAAATTTTCCTCAGACGCGCCCAGTCAATGTTATATTGAAGTTAGATGTTGCCGTCACCTCTCTGACAACTTACTGTCATATGGCAATGGAATTTATTGTATCTTTATAAATGTATTTAACACGTGTAGTATATTACTTTTCTTTTATTTAGTTTTCTGTACTTCTATTCCACATCAACATTTATGTCCCAAATCTCTTTCCATTTCTTCTATTTTCATTCTTTAATAGGAATCCAAATATTTCGCTTCACATATTTTAAGATGCTATAACACCCCGTGTCTTCTAGCTCAATTACTGCTTGCCCGATTTACACTTTATTTTTACATTTAGCATAAAAATATATACGTGGCTGTATGGTGTTTTGCTTATATGTTTGTATACTTTAGGTGAATGTCTAAGTACTTCCACGGTACATCAAGGGGGTTACTTGCACGATACGTTAGTAGACCTGTTTATGTCGGAAGTAAAACACTTCTTTATGCTAGAGGAGTTTTTATGGTGGTGGCACCACCACTACAAAAACTTTAAAGGTTGTTAACGCCCCACAGCCCTCGGGGGTCGTAGTGGTCCATAGGCGGTGGTATTCCCTTAACATCAGGTGAACTACCTGCTCGCTTGGGACACCTTTTCACATAAAGACGCCATGTTATCTACTAGCTTAGAAGCCAGCAGCGATTCCAATAAAGAAGTAAAGTTCAGCAAGTAAAATTGTCTCGTGTAATACGAACAATACATTCTTAAAAAGATACCTTATATTTACCGCATCACCCAGACGCCCACAAAAATTCAAGATTACGGACTTTTTGTTTACTCATTCCTAAGACACTTCAATCATACATTGAGAGAAAAAGGAAACAAAAATACAAGCATTTAAAATAATCTTGCTCTACTAATTAACACTGAAAGTGACGTCACAAATGATCAAGATGGTAAAATAATTTTAATTGTGGATATTGGAAAACATATCAGTAGTATTTTATTGTAGTTAGTATTTTATCTCATAAATTCTGAATGAAATTCTGTTCGGGTTCATAAGGTTTGGTTAATTTTCCATTCTTAACTATAAACGTTCCTAACCAACGTGTCTAATATCACGTTCTAATGTTTCATACATTTTCCGCTGAATCGGCGTAACACAATCGACGTAATTATTATGTATGCTATCTATCAAACTTATACCTAGTTCTACATTATCTATTATATAGATAACGTAACGCAATTAGTAATGGTTGTAGTGGATCAAAGTATTCGAAATTCCTAACGGGGTATTTTTGCATTAGAAAGTATGAGCTTTATTATATTTATATGTATATTTATTTATATATTATCATTCATTCATTCAACGTGATTGATCATTTTTATTTTTGAAGTGCATATTATTGCAATTTCATACAAACTGAAAAATAGCTTCATAGTACTTGAATTTGCAGGAGTGAACAATATTTTTAATTTGACCGTATTTCTTGACGTCGAACTGATGATCTTTCTTCACAATGGTTTATTTAAAGATGTTACGTTACTTACCTTAACACGAATGACCTAAATAATTATAAATCTAGTCGTCAATGGTCTCTTATATTTTTGCCGTAAATACTATGGTACGGTTACAACGGTAATACTTGTGTTATTTCTATAAAAGTATCTAAAAACAATTAACATCGTAATAAAAACCTGTTTTAAATTCCGGTTTCAAAGTTTATAGAGTAGATCGTTTCTAGTGTAGACTGAAAACTGTATGAGGCTTTGAAAAGTTCCGCACACCATGCATGTGACATGTACCTTATTTCATACATTGTGTGTCTAAAACAGCCTTGCGTACTATAGCGGGCACCATTTTCTGTAGGCGTGCTGAATGACGTGGGCTCTTTCTTCGATTCCCTGCGCGACAACCTGGAAAATCTGGCTTCTCTGTCACCCGAGCAACGGTCGACTCTGTTCCAGGAGCTTCCGCAAGTCCTGCAAGCGCAGTCGGGTGGTGAGTAACCTCTTCGTCACCTTCTTCATCAACGTCACGGTCTATCTATTATTACGTGAAGCAAAAACTTTGTACCCCACGTAAATTATGTACCCAACGAAAATTGCGCGTACGGAGGAGTCCCATACTTGTGGTTTATATAGAGAAGGAGTAAAGTAAAGTAACAGCCTATAAATGGCCCACAGCTGGGCAAAGGCCTCCTCTGTAAAGAGGGTATCAGGGCATAGGGCCACCACGCGACCCCACTGCGGATTGGCGGACTTCACATATATTCGAAATATTTCTTTTTGTTATTATTTCGAGAGCCGTGATAGCTCAGTGTCCGGGCGCTCGCCTTTAATTCAATATACTCGAGCAACCTGAGATCGATCCCCGGTGCCGGCACTAATGAAGTTTTTAACTTTAAGTGCTGAATTATCACGTGCTCCGCGGTGAAGGAAAACATCGTGAGGAAACCTGCATATTTTCGAAATAATAACAAAAAAAATGTATTTCGAAAATATGTGAAGTCCGCCAATCCGCAGTGGGGCCGCGTGGTGGACTATGCCCTGATACCCTATGTATAGAGGAGGCCTTTGCCCAGCAGTGGGACATGTATAGGCTGTTACTTTACTTTTTTTTACTTGTTATTATTTCGAAAATATGCAGGTTTCCTCACGATGTTTTCCTTCACCGTTGATAACTAGAGAAGGACACACTACTATTTATAATTAATTATGGTCGAATATCGACAACTATTTACTGTTTAATATAGGCCTCGTTCAAGTAATGAAATAGGTAGCTAACAAAATACGTAGCTAAAGAAATACGTAGTTAAAAAAAGTAGCGCAGTTGTCATGATATTGGCTTCAGCGCCAAGGGTCGTGGGTTCGATTCCGACACGGGACATCACTTGCTTGGTCCACAGATAATTGTTTCGGATTTAGGTGTTTTTTCACGTGAAATTCATGTTACTGAAACGTCCTTACAACACAGGATAATGTTATGATAAACGTGACTCATCGGTAAAAAAGTCAACAACAACATTGACGATAACTCATGTTATGAACGTTCGTCGTTTTTTTTTTGTAGTTTTAACTCATGTGGCCGGAAAATATTTTTTTTGTAAACCTTTTCTATTGGAAGAAAAGGTCTTTCGCCTTTAATATTACTTGGAGTATATTTACTTGAAAACAGCAAATTATTCGTGGAAAAAAAAAACAAAAATCTCATTGATACAAATCACCACTACAAAGATCCTAAATAACACTTTACTAACTGTTTGTTTATATAAACGTTTTAAAAGAACATACGGCTAATTTTACATGTATAGCGATAAAAAACGAATACAGAAGGCCAATTTAAGGTTTCCGGGAACACTTATGTAAATAAATACTAAAATAACTGTTACTATAACTTTATAAAACTATAACGATGTTGGTAACAACCGGTTCCTTGCAGCGTTCTCTGCAACTGTGCTGTCTACAGTAATTACGCAAGTTGGTACAAACAAATTCGCGATTGGATCTATTGTATGGGGTGTATCCGCACCTCATCAAACTTAGAGCCCCGTAGGAATGATCATGAGTATAAACATGGATGTTTGCGATTCAAATGCAAATTAGGTACTCCGCAAAAATGGAAATATAACAAATGTAAATCCTGAATAAGCAAAAACTTAAATATGAAAAAGTTTGTGTGTGTGTCTGTTCTAATTTCACGTTGTATTCTAATCTGATTTTGATAAAGTTCTGAATGCTGCTCGGAAAGGCAATCTAGACCGAAAACTAGAGTCTAAAGGCGAGAAATAATAATAAAAACTGTTATATTTATCACAGGAACTCCTCCCATTTTTAACTGACTTCAAAAGTTGGGGGTTCTCAATTCGACTGTATTTTTAGCCGACTTCAAAAAAGAAGGTTTCTCAATTCGACCCGTATATATTTTTATTTTTTTATGTGTGTTCGCGGATAACTTCGTCGTTTATGAACCGATTTTGATTATTCTTTTTTTATTTGAAAGCTGGTGCTTCCCATGCGATCCCATATTAATTTCATTGGTATTGGATCTTGGGCTCCGGAGATACCTTGGGAACTCCTGAAAATCAATTATAAAATGAATACAGAGCGAGATATGGCCAATTCGGGGAGGGGTCGCGTGATGGACTGTGCCCTAGTACCCTCTGCACATGGAGGCCTTTGTCCAGCAGTGGGACCTATATCTGGTAGTAAAGTATACTATTTATTTTTCAAATCAACAATTTTTTTTACCGCATCATACGGCTGTTATTAATCTCTAACGCTGGCAATACTTTTCCCAACCCCAGATATTACGAACGTCCATTGGCGGCATTAGTCGCATGCCATGTCTCTTCACTTCATTCTTATCACTACATAGTATAAAACAAAGTCGTCCCGCTGTCTGTCTGTCCCTATGTATGCTTAGATCTTTAAAACTGCGCAACGGATCTTGATGCTATTTTACTAGATAGAGTGATTCAAGAGGAAGGTTTATATGTATACATTGCACCCGTGCGAAGCCGGGGCGGATCGCTAGTAAGTAAAGAAGCATCTTTATCCAATTAATAATATTCTCGACACTTCGTCAGCTGCAGCGTGACCTTGCAACGCTTCCGTTTCGAGACGGAGAGGATACTTCGATAATAATCACATCTATATGACGTCTTGCGCGATGCGACGTTTCTGTCTGTGTTTTCCCGCTTCCCGTCCATTGAAGAGCGAGTGTTGCCTTATGCGAGGCTAATTTACACGCTCGGAGCGTAAGGTTCACTGGTGTTGTGAAGGATGGCGGCATTGTAGTAAATAATCGCAAACTGCACTTTGTTGCAGATGAATATGCAACTACTTTTACGACAATTATATTGACTTCTTGATTTTACGCGAATATTATACATATCAAATGAAACTAGTTTGCGGATTTTATCGCGTATTGTTTTGATTTTTAATTTCCCGACGTTTCGAAACCTTTTCAGCGTCCATGGTCACGGGTCAGACTGTCCCTTGACCGTGTTCGTCCGTAAACTAGTAATCCGTAAATTAGTTTCATTTATTATGGACAATTATATTATTTGTTGGTGATACTAAATATATTAATGTATTGATGGATCATCCCTTGCATTAGATCGTATATCATGCATAGACAATGATGTTTAATAATATAGATGAGGCATGTCCATACTGTGTGGCGTTTAAAAATTGTTCCGCTTTACGTTATATGACATAAATAAGTGAATGTGACAGATGATATAGAACTTGTGATACGGAAAGAGATGGCAGTCTATAGAATTACACCGAATGGTGTTATTTGAGCGCCTCACTTTCGGTGCGCTAGTGTCATATCTAACGTATAATATCATTGTAATAAATGCTCGGTTGCTTGGCAACCAACTTCACGGTATTTCCATGACAACCAATAACAACATTTTGACATTTACCAATAATTCCGAGTTATTTGAATAAACCGTTATCGAAAACGAGTTAAATAGCATTTAATGTCTTTACGATAAATAAGTATAACTTATTTTGTGCGTACATAAGTACACACATACTTTGAGGAAACTAACTTAATCCGTCAGTTATTTTTTATGACTAATATAGGTTAATCACAAGCGGCAAAAACTAATGGGCTGACCTTAAAGAACAATTGCGAACGATCATGATTCATCTCAGCTTAACCAATTTATAAATAACATTTCTTTTAGGCCACCTTTGAGTTTTGTTGTATTTTCTGTTTCGTATTTTCTCCGAGTGATTTTTGGGAACGTTTTGTGAAAATAAACTTCAAACCTTTTTAGGTAACTTCGTTTTTAAATTCAATTATTGCTTGCTTTTGTTCAAAAAAATATAAGCTATATTTATTATTTTTAATTGGTATTAACTTAAGAAACTTAAAGCGTTTTTGGGCGTAAATATAGCACGTGGTGGAATAATTTTCGAATTTTCTTTTCAGTAAAAATGTTTGTCTCGCGTATCTCGATTACTCCCGGCATAAATGTGAGGAAATAAATTTAAATTATCTTTGAAATGATTTTAAAAATAAAATTTAAACACAAAAAAATGTTAAGGAAACTGTCGTTTGGAGGAAAAAGTAATGTTTTTTTTTAAATGATTCACGGATTTTACGCTTGCGGCTGTCATAAATGGCACGGTTCATTAAATGGACACTTTTTGTATAATACGTCAATGCTACTGTAATAGAGTATTTTTAATGCCAGGTTTCAATGCCAACATAAAAAACCTTGGAAAATTTCGAAAAAAAAAGATAAACATATTTTTTAAATTAAATATGCTTTACTTACCTGATTTATCAAAGGCGAGAAAAACATCCTAGCTCGCACGACTACCTGTCATATCTACATGGTATTTTTTCACGTTGTGTTCCTGTGACAAAATTTCTTGTCATCTCATAGTTCTTTATCATATTCATTTGCTATTCGTGGCTCATAAAAGTTATAAAGAACCCCAAAACTGAAATACGCTGGAATCAGATCTGCAATTCCAGTTATTAGAACCTAATTTAAAATGAACATATATACTCCTAAATACACACTTTCAAACAAAATGAGAATGCATATGGATGTATCCTCTGCCCACCATCTCGCTAACCGACGCTCAGGTGGCCAACTTTGGATACCGCCTCCATGTCCAAGTTTAATTAGTTCCACGTGTAACTGTCCGACAAACGCACCGGACCAATGTCCATTGTAAAGTTTTAAGATATAAAACATATGGATTCCTTAATCGTTTCTAGCCACTCTGTTTAAAGTTGTTGCATAGCTAACAGTTTGCAGAAACGAAACAACTCAATCGCATTATTATGTTCTTATTTTCTATGAAACTTAAAAACGTTTCGATTTTGCTAGTAATATAATAGTTTATTTATTTTCGAATTTAAATGTTCAGTAAATTTTCGACTCGCTTATTGATCGATGACCGATTGTTTTCGGTAGACAATTAGACATTAGTTGCACGAATGGATAGTAACGTATCGTTCTGGAAAGTACAGAGTTCACGCAGAACATCTGCATAAAATTTCTATTATATATCATTTTAGTGTTTCGCCTGCTGAGTGAGGCAACCTATTAATATCATCGATTTTGTTACCAAATTGTGCAAATCACCACAACAAAATGGACGTCGGTAATCACTTGATATCAGATGAACCACACGTCCATTATTTATCTTATGGTTTACCTATTTCTGAATCTTCATTTTTCCTATAATCGTTTATATTTATATATATATATATATATATATATATAAAGCTCTTTATTAAGTCGTTTCATTGATAAATAACAATAATCAATAACAATGTAATTAACAAAAGTTTAAGACAGCTAAATGGGTGAATATTTGATAACTGAAAGGCATTCGTGTTACATTAAATAATGGTCCACGAGTCTTGGTAATTAATATTTAACAAAAGCAGACATATTGTAGAAACAAGTACTATATTAAATAATATAAAATAGACCTTTAATGCTCGTCTGAAAAATTCATGTAACGAAATAATAACACTACTTGTAAAGAAGACTGAAAAAAATATTAGGAGATATTTAATTATATAGATGTGGTTGTTGAAAAACTTGCTTGAATTAATATGGTTGTTTTTATTATAGAAATACTTTGAGAATTGATTTAAAATAGATTAGGGAAAAAAGCGAAAGTATAACTCGTGAATCTTGCTTTATTATTGAAATTTATGGTATTATAATTTTATTAATTGACAGGTATGAGTGGCGGAGGCACTGGTATGCGTAGACTGCATGCCCTGCGCCCACTCAAACCCACCAGCAACATCAGGTGTGTCTAAAAATTTACTTCACGCACGCAAACATTAACAAGGTAGACAGAGACACGGTAAACTGAAAAACAACAACTACACACCACGCAATATCAAGTTAACAAAAATAAACCATCTTGTATTATATTATCACAATTGATTCAATTTTCTTTCAGTGAGTTCGTTTAACACCCAAATATTTTTTTTTTACACCCAATTGATTTTTTTGAGTCAAAACTGTTTTGTGGTCAATTCCAGCCACGTAGCTAAAGACGTAATACCCACTTATATGCCGATCTTGCTGCCAGAGAGAGTTGCATCTTTGACATCAAAATTCCCGGACTGAAAACGCTTCAACCAACTTTGTGCTATTCTTACTTACACTTCATCGCATTTTCAAATTTTGTAATACAACTTCAAAATGTATAGAATTTCTATTTGAATTCTAGATTTATGCCCGTTTTCACCATCGGTCCCTAACTTTAAGAGACATGAAGAAAAATGGAGGGAAATTGTTTTTTGCTTTCTATTCTTCTTCTTTAAAATTTCATATATTTAATGGTACTAAAACCCTGCCACATACAAACAGTTACAACTAAAGAGATTTTATTAAATTATATTAAAACATACGAAATACAAAAGGACACCCAAACAAGCATTTGGAGTTGAAACTTACTTATGAGCTTTGCGATGCATTTTCGAAATAATAATGCATTTTTATAGTTCGACTATTCTTTATAAATCAAGCTCCATACATTTCTAAAACATCTCCTTTAACGCACTCAAATGTTCACCTATATTTAAATATTAATATCCTAGACATCTCTGTTTATTGGAGTGAAACTTCTTACGAGGCGATTTTGGAATTTCAAGAACGGTCTAATGTAAATTAATGTGCAGAACATTTCGCCACACAAAAGAGAAGAAAGAGCTGAGGAAAAAAGCTAAGTTAATACAAAGCTACAAAGTATAATCTGCATCTGCATCGCGCATGGACGCGGTGTAGATAGCTAATGATATTTAATCATCTTTTTTTGCACGTTTTACATTATGTGACATAATTTATAAGTGAATATGATAGATGATATAGAACTTATGATACGGAAAGAGATAGCACTCTAAGAATTACAACAATTTATTTATTTATTTATTTATTTATTTATTTATTTATTGACGTAATTAGAGCGCCTCAGTTTCGGTGCGCTAATGTCATATATCTATATTACTATATAGTATAATTTATATATGATAGTTTCAGACTCTATTTATATGAACAGCTGAGATATCACGTGTAATTGATATTAATCACGTTTGTTAATTGTAAACGCTTTTTAAGAAGTTTCACTCTGACAACACGTTCGATGCTGTTTAAATTGTATTTTTGTGATAAGCGAATAATTTTTTTTTAATTATCGTTGTACGTAGATCTTACAACCGCAGATCGTTCGTGGAGCCGGACAGAGGGTATCCCAGGGCGAACCACCACGATCCCGGTCTGCTGTGGACCGGACTTGGCCGTCGGTAGACATCCCCGCTCAAAACTAACCTCAATTCACAAACAAAACCGTGCACTAAGTTATCACATATCCCGCTAAAACAATTAAAACTGTGTACACAAACACCCAACCTGAAAGAATGCATAATATCATAGATTATACACTTATATATTGAGAAAAAATTGAGGCATTATACCAGTCAAAAATGCATATGTGTAACGTTTTGACAGATTAGCGGAATGTTACCGCGAAAATGAACCGCCATTTTGTTTTAGGCAGAGATACGCCGATGGATACAGCGCTGTTTCCGATGATACCAATAGAAATTATCATTCGATCACACCGCCACAAGTATTACTGCGTTCATACCAGTCACGAAATAAAAATATAAAACACGATGTTGAAACCCAAACCAATCCTGACAATGATACGCCGTTTCTCGATTATATTTTGGGTTGCACACGTGTTGAAATTTAATCTGCATCAAGTAAGAACCCTTTTTTTAATATCTTTATATTAACACATCCAAAAATTCAACTCTAAGATTGTTCAAAGCTTTTTTCATCTACATATATTTTTTTAAATTAAACAGATCTAAAATCTTGTTTGAAACTTGATTTATTGTATGTTTTAAAAGTTAATATCGAATAATTGAATTAGAATATCTTTATTAATTGTATTAGATAGTAATTTAATTATCCAGGATAAATTAAATATTGTGTACTTTTAAAGAATTTTCATGTGAGTTAATGTTTTGATCTATCTCTCTAGTCAATTGGTGGATGTAACTCTGGATTTTTTGAAAAATATATTGTTCTAAAATTTGAGTGTCTTTAAGTATCCTAGTTCTTTTTTTTTTTAAAGTGAAAAATGCCAAACGAGCCGACGGTTCAACTGATGGTAAGTGAATAACGCCGCCCATGGACATCTGCTACACCCGAGGGTTGCAGATGCGTTGACAAACTTTTGAAAATTGGGCTCCGGCTACCTCACTCACCAGACGAAACACGAAAGTATTTGCCATACTTCCACTTACGCTGGTCTTCTGTGAGGTCGCGGTACTTACCCGGACGGGCCTGCCCATTCGTGCAACAGCCTACGCTGCTGCGTGGCCCTACCCCGAAACTCACGTTCTAGTTCACTCTACAACTGTCCTTTTAAGTAAAATTCTATGAGTATTAAAATTTTTATTAGTTAGGTATTTCTGTAAGTGAAATAAATATTTCAGAACTTGTTTACACAACGTTATCTAGTCCCGAACTCAGCAAAGCTTGTACTATGGACACTAGGCAACTGATAAACATACTTAAACATCCTCTTTTTGTAAACAAATAGTTATTATAGGTGCATAAACAACCAGACACTAGTAATGCCTTATGTTTATCCCACATCCCTATAGTATTCCAGTGGTGGGGATCGAACCCACACGCTCTGGCGCAAGAGATAGACTCAATATCCACTACGCCAATCAGGTCGTCAACTTATGCTATTTTACAAGAGAGTAACATGTATGTACGTGCTTTAGTTCCACTCAATCTGTACACAAAGCGACACATGCAACAGCATTTAAATTTTGTATAATGTGAACTTAATGTGAACTGATTCACAAATTGCCCTCCGTGTCTTTTAATTAATTAATTGAATTGTAACATTTATGTTTGCACTCGGATATTTACTATTGTTTTTCCTTCGTTTATAGAGGAATCATTTTCAATCTGTTAATAAACAGTCTGTAAATTTTAACAACAATCTACGTATGTTTTAAACAGCCCGAAAATGGGAAAAATGTCTTTAGATGTTAGAAATGGAGGCCCGAGTATGATATTTGAAATACACTTCTTATGGAGAAATTTTTATTGGCTTATACAAAATTTTCCTCTTTTTGAAAGTCCCTTTAGGTCTGAATTTTTTCGATATCTAGTCTTAATCCTATTACTCTTTTTAAAAGCCCCTTTAACTCTTCATTCATTTGGTGTTTAATCTTATTATAGTTTAAATAAAGGCATTCTCAGTCGTAACGCTTATTTTAGTGTCGGTACTAGAATCAATGAGATTATTAGATATAAGTAGTCAAAGCCGCTCGCTGTTCCCAGAAATACTATTATTTCAAAATCAGCGTAACGCAATTACGGTTGAGCCCACTGGGAAATCGAGTGATGGTTACAGTTTGTTTTGACCATTTATTTAATAGAAATTAATAACAGCTCTGCTTCTCAACACGTTAACAAGTCAGAAGTAATTGTTAACGTTAATATGCAGAGCCTGAATAAAACAAAAGTTTCAATCATATGTATGTATGTACCTTTGACACATTTTTAACGCAAACCAAGGGAAAGACATCATGAAGGATTACCTTATTGTGTGATATCCATAGTAACGTTTGGTGTTGTTTATTGAATTGAAAATGAAGTCGCTTCAAGTTCCGAGCAATGCATAAGAATACGTGTTCAGTTGCACGATGGATAGGCTCCGGACAAAACTCCCCACAGAAGACCGTCGGCGCGCGTGAAGAACTTTTAATGCTCAAAAGTAAAAGTAAAGTAACAGCCTATACATGTCCCACTGCTGGGCAAAGGCCTCCTCTATAGAGAGGGTATCAGGGCATAGTCCACCACGCGGCCCCACTGCGGGTTGGCGGACTTCACATATCTTCGAAATATATTTTTTTTGTTATTATTTCGAAAATATGCAGGTTTCCTCACGATGTTTTCCTTCACCGCGGAGCACGTGATAAGTCAGCACTTAAAGTTAAAAACTTCATTGGTGCCGGCACCGGGGATCGAACTCAGGTTGCTCGAGTATATTGAATTAAAGGCGAGCGCCCGGACACTGAGCTATCACTTTTAATGCTCAGTAGAAGAAAAAACCGGACAAGTACTGGTCGGACTATCACAAAAAGTGTTCCGTAGCATTAGCTATAAAAACGACAAAAAAAATCATGTCTGTTGTATGGTAGCCCCACTTAAATAATTTACTATTCTCTTTTTTAGTATTTGTTGCTATAACGGCAACAGAATGGCATCATCTGTGAATGTTTCAACTCTCAAATTAACACGGTTCATGAGATACAGCCTGGTGACAGACGGAAAGACAGACAGACAGACAGGGGAGTCTTGCTAACAGGGTCCCGTTTTACCCTTTGGATACGGAACCCTAAAAGGCGTCTAGTGAGTCAGGTAACCCCTCTTAGAGGTGGTCAAACCTGTTGTTTAGTGTATGTCAATTAAAGACTTCATTATTTAACTGCAATAACACTTTATTCTCTTTTAGCAAAATAAAAATTCATTAACATTTATGGGAATTGAGAGGTTTCGGCTGATTAAATCGCAAGGCAAAATTAGAAGTGTAATGTCAAGGTCACTGACCCAGCATCATTATTATCATTACAGCATCACTTTCGGTAACAACTGCTAAATCAGTAATGAGATAAAAATTACTTCCGCAAACGGCTGCATTGTACCTCGAATAATGTATCAAACAAGCGTAAAACAAATTATAATCACAATAGTTATATGATATCTAAATCTATGTACTTATATTCCAGTATCTTAATCATCTAAATGGCTAATTTCAGTATAAGATAACAACTTCCAAATCGCTACTGCAATGATTATAGCGTCATCAACAAATATTAAGTCGTGTTTTGATTTATTGTCATTACCAAGGACGCCAAGTTTTATGTATTAGAGATCTTAAAAAAAAATCATCTTCACACCTATAATTCTAACTTAATGTCTTTTTCACAAACAAAGAGTACCAACTGATACAGGTGATAAAATTTTTATAGTTATTATTATTTTGTTCAGCTAAAAAAGGATAATTTCTTGAAAAAAAAGCTATAATCTTTAATCAACTTCAGCTGCGAATGGGCAGCTTCGCCCAGGGCACCCTCGCAGATGACAGGTGGAACGAAAGTATTATACTTTTGCCTTCCGTCTGGTGAGGTAATCCGGGTTAAAGGTAATTAAAGGTTTGCAAGCCATCTACAACTTCTCAAGTGTTGTTGGTGTTCATGAGTTTCATCATGCATTGCATCAGGTAAACAACCTGATCGCTTGCCGTTTCACATTACGTTAACGTTTAACGTTTCACATTAAAATGATATCTATCACATGTACCGTAAAAATATAAGTGTTCGTTATGGTCAAATACTAATAACCTTCAAATGATTTAAGAAATTTAAACATAACATTCCCACTGTCTGTTACGCAATCCAAATATGTACTCGTACATTGTCAATCTATCGATTGAAACATTGTTTGGAGCAGGAAGCAACGCGTCTATCGTCCATCGGCAGGAAATTGATCACAATTGGTATAAACCGTCCAATTTACTATCAAATTCGTCTCTGATCAATGGTCATAACCATTTAAAAATAGAAGACCAATCCGTTATTCTTGCGGCCTTTTTCAGTTTCTTTTTAAAGTTAAAATTAATATTGTATTCAAGAAAATTTTTGAACCTATGCTTCTTTTAGTGCGTTGGGAAAAAATTATGAGAATAAAGTTTAACATCCAAAACGTTGATGTGAAACTGCGATTTTTTATTAGACCTTTCTGTTTGGTATATTATCAACAGAGCCATCTAATTTTAGTACAAATAAATCAAAAACCACCAAGAAGGAGTTCATTAATTCAAGTAAAAAGCTTTTTTCAATACGAATGAACTTATTATTTATATGATATCTAAAACTTTGGTCCGAAGTGTATTAAGAAATAGTGACAATTATAGTTTCACTCCGTTAATTAATTCAGACGTCGTTATCTTAGTTGTGTGTTTAATAGATGCGTCGGTATAGATTTTGTCGCCTAAATGAACTGTTAAAATAATCCCCGATAGTTCGGGCCGCGTCTTATGAACTGTATCGCCGAGGGAATGTCATAAAAACTTTATGTACACCATATGAAGACACCAGAGGTACACCAGAGAGAAAGAAGTATTTACGAGAAATTTTATTCTGTTTACGAAAAGGCAGACAACAGAAGCACGGCGGGAAATAACGTATTTTTGAATCAAAGATGTAGGT